CACGGGGGAGAAGATTTAAAAAATGACGGTCTGCGGAGGATGTGTGTATAAATGACACAGAAGTCGAAATAAATGATTTTTCAATGATCAAAGTGTCTGTTTTTAGCCAGTCTGTAAGCTCGGATGAGCTCACAGTGGCTGTGCACACATCCTCCACACATAAAGAGCCGGTGTCCTTAAATAAAGGTTTTTTAAACTCACCACCGCTCCACCACATGATGAGACGCTCACTCGACACTACGGTAAGCGAAATAACTCGTTATCAATCAGGCCCGCACGATCATCACCCAAGCGGTGTTAAACGCGGACCCGAGCGAGGCAAGCAGCTTCCATCCAAACGGCGCTGTGTTGATGATGCACGCACAGCTGCCCGGCGCTCACCGGCTCACATCGGTATAAATGTGGGACCACAGGCCAGGTCCGGTGGAGGTCCCAGCTCTCAGCGAAAACAACACACGCCTCACCTGAGCAAACGCGAGCGGCCGTCATCCACCGCGTCTCAGCGATCGGCAGCTCACGACGGCATAAGCGTGAGACAACTGAACGAACCCGGTGACGAGCCCCGCCTCCAGCGAGAGCGGCGCGCGTCCCTCCAGAGAAAACGTGTGCTCCCGCGGGGCTCGCAACCTTCACTCCGACAGCACTGCGTTGATGAAGTCACGCCCTCCGCCTCTCAACGTTCGCACAGCGACGTTAAACGTGCAGCCCCACGGCGTCATCAGCTGACACAAGCTTCGCCTCAGCACACACCGGCCCACCCAGACATGAAGGTTGGTCCGCGATCCAGACGCAGTGCACGGGCGCGTTCAGAACAGCCCTTTCGAGGAAGCCTCGCCTTGGGTCACGCGGAAAACATTTCTGCGACGCATGACGGCGGTCGAGGCGGCGGATTGGATGACATCCGTTCAAAACACGGCGCATCACTTAAACGCACGTCCACTCCACGAACGTTACGCAGAGTGGCTAAAAACATGCTCGCCGGACAGATGGATGGACAGGGTGTTATGCAAGGGTTACACGCTGCAATTTGCAACCCGACCCCCTCCGTTCGGAGGAGTTATAGAGACGGTCCTGTCATCACCAGACCAAATCTCATCCTTAAATGCAGAAGTTCAAGAGCTTCTGATAAAAGGCGTAATCTCCAGAGTTCCCAACGGAAAGGAAAACACAGGGTTTTACTCACGCTACTTCCTGGTTCCCAAACGGACCGGAGGGATGAGACCGATTCTGGATCTGTCAGCTTTCAACAAAACGATCATGGACAGACCGTTTCACATGCTGACAACCAGACAGCTGTTGGACAACATCCAGAGAAACGACTGGTTTGTTTCCATCGACCTAAAAGATGCTTATTTTCACATACCGATCGTCCCAAAACACAGGAAATTTCTGCGTTTCGCTTTTCAGGGGAAGAAGTATCAGTACAACAGGCTGCCTTTCGGGTATTCCCTTGTGCCTCGTACGTTCTCAAAGTGTGTGGAGACAGCCCTGCATCCACTACACAGAGCAGGGATGAGAATTTTGTTTTACCTGGACGACCTGCTACTCCTGTCACACTCCAGACAGGAGGCGCTGATGCAGGCTCAGGTGTTGGCATCACACCTGTTAAATCTGGGCTTCGCCATAAATTGGAAGAAAAGCTCGATTTTCTCGGCCCAGACAATTGTTTATCTGGGAGTGGAATTAAATTCAACCACCATGAAGGCTCGTTTATCACAAACGAGAATCGACGCTTTAAAAAGTCAACTCCGCCACTTAAGACCTGGCAAAGTGGTAACAGCTGTCTCCGTCATGAAGCTGTTGGGAATGATGTCATCAGCTCACACAGTGGTTCCGCTGGGTTTGTTACACATGAGACGCCTCCAGAGATGGTTTGCGCGTCTGCATGTGGATCCAGTAAAACAAAAGAGACGGATGATCACTGTCCCTCCCTCCGTGAGAGCAGACCTCCGACACTGGGGAAACACCCTGGTTCTGTCAGAGGGAGTTCCCGTCAGCAGACCCACGTCACACATGTCAGTCTTCACGGACGCATTGCTGTCAGGCTGGGGGGGACATGCCTATCTCAAGCAGTAGGGGCGCTGTGGCCCCACCGCACATCAGCCCACATCAATGTTTTGGAGTGTCGCACAGTGCTGAATGTGATTCAACACTTTGCTCCCGTGCTACAGAATCAACACGTGTCGATTCACACAGACAACATGGTGACTGCTGCGTACATAAACCGTCAGGGGGGTGTGCATTCAGCCCAGATGTTACACATTGCGCGAAATCTACTGTGTTGGGCTCACCAAAATCTGCTCTCCATCAGAGCAGTTTACATACCCGGTGTTCTGAACAGAGGGACAGATGTGATGTCCAGGGGTGGCCCACGTCACGCGGACTGGACCCTCCTTCCAGACCTGATGGTTCAGACGTGGCAGAAGTTTGGCAAAGCAGCTGTGGACCTGTTTGCGACACGAGAGAACGCTCAGTGTCAACTATGGTTTTCCCTGAGCCCGCGAGACGATCCACCGCTGGGGGTGGATGCATTTGCTCACAGCCCATGGCCCAAAATGCTTCTGTACGCGTTTCCCCCACCTCCTCTGATTTTACGGTTCCTGAACCGAGTTCAGGAGGAGGGATTGACAGCTCTCCTGGTGGCTCCCGAGCGTGTGAACGCACCATGGTTCCCAGTCCTGCAACGTCTTTTGTTGGGTCGCCCGTGGAAACTGCCGTGGAGGGAGGATGCTCTCCTTCAAGCAGGAGGAGCGATCAAGAGTTACCCAGAAATAGGCCAGCACCTGTGGGTTTGGCCGCTGAGCTGTCCCGCTTAGAGAGGATGGGTCTCCCACAGGAAGTAGTGCGCACTATCCAGGATTCACGTGCTGCATCTACCACAGCTCTATACACATGAAAGTGGACGGCTTTTCAGCGCTGGTGTACAGAGAAAGGTGTAGAGGCCACCTCATGTCCATTAGGCGGCGTGTTGTCTTTTCTACAAAAGCTGATGGATAGGAAGTTGGCATTCAGCACGATTAAAACGGACGCTGCAGCCATCTCTTCCTGCCACGAAGGGTTCGGAGACAGAACAGCTTTTAATCACCCACTGATGAAGCGGTTTCTAAAAGGTGTACAGAGACGCAGGCCTGTTTCACGCCCACTTGTTCCACAGTGGGATTTAACGCTGGTCCTGCGAGCCCTGATCAAAGCTCCATTTGAGCCTCTGGATCAGGTTTCACTTAAATTCTTGTCTCTTAAAACAGCCCTGCTGCTGGCTTTAACATCCGCTAAGAGGGTAAGTGATTTATCTGCCCTCACTGTCGCTCCGTCATGTCTCAGAATTCAGGCTGACGGTAGTTCAGCTGATTTAAGACCAAACCCAGCTTTTATGCCTAAAAACATCACAAGCTCTTTTAAATCAAGAGTGATGTCGTTGGAGGGATTTTTCCCTCCCCCCCACAGATCAGAAGAAGAAGCATCTTTCCATCTTCTCTGTCCGGTGCGGGCGTTGACGTGTTATATAGCGCGCACAGCTGTAATGCGTCAAACTCAACACTTGTTTGTGCATTATAGAGATGCATCTGCAGGTCGCCCGTTATCCACCCAGCGCTTGTCACACTGGCTGTGTGAGGCCATTTCTGAAGCCTACAGAGCATCAGATTTAGAGCCTCCTGTCAACCTCAAAGCACACTCGACCAGGGGTATCGCATCTTCGACTGCCCTGCATAATGGTATGTCACTGCAGGACATTTGCACTGCGGCTGCGTGGTCAACACCCTGCTCATTTATTCGCTTTTATCTACGTGATGTGACGGCTCATTCCATGACACATTCTGTCCTTAGTGCTCTAACAGAATGAATATTGTTGTTTTTCATGGAACTCTGTTTAAGCTCACATCTGTCTGCATGCATTACAGTGTGATATGTTGTTATCAGTCACAAGTTGTGTCTGTGATTTTGGTTCTATTGTCACTAATCAGTTCATGACTATTGTTACCAATCAGTTCATTTGATCAATAATCAGTTCATTGTTATTAATCTGTTTATACTGTTCAGCCATGAATCAGTTGGTTCATGCCCCCCCCCCTTCTTTTCAACATCTTCTCCCCGTTGAAAATTTCCTGTGCGTTCATGTTTTGTCAGAACGCATGGTTACATAACATCCGTCTGTGTATGGCACATAATTACGCAACGCGTAGTTATGCACATGGGGAGCTGAGTGATAAGACATTTTTTTGGGCAAGCTTCCGCTTCTTACTGTGTTCGAATGGACCCAGTGAGGCGAGGACCACATCCGCTTCGCCCTTAACCCATCAGCGACAGCCTTAAAGGGCGAAGCCTATACGACATAGAACGTTGGTTACGTACTCTAACCTCAGATTCTATGAGTATAGGCGTAGCCCTTTAAGCGTCGGGCCTCACTGGCTCCTGAATAGCTGAAGAAAAAATAAGCTATTTGGGAGCCGATTACCCGCTCTTAATGTAACTTATACGGATCGGGTGGGGCCCACACAGCAGGTGGGCGTGGACTAATTTTTTCAGTATGATGCTTGCGCATAACGGGATAAACCCATCAGCGACAGCCTTAAAGGGCTATGCCTATATTCATAGAATCTGGGGTTACAGTACGTAACCAACGTTTTCCTCGTACAACAAGAAAAAGAACAACAACAACAACAACAAAGGTTTTGATGTTGCTGTAATCTGCTCCAGTTTTCACTATGTGGCAATTGTTTGAAGAAAAATTTGTAAATTGTATCCTAAAAAAAGGTCACATTATAAAAACCGTCTCTTGCTTAAGAATCTGGTTAAATTTGTTATTATTGCAATAACAAGAGATTATTCATATGAGCTGGTTTTATGCAGGCAACGATGTTAACGTTGTATGTTAACGAGCCAGACGATTCAACATTTTCTCTGCTTATGCTTAAACTACTTATTTCAAATTAGCAGCAAATTCTTGGTTTAAATGAAGTTTTGATTTATGAGTTCACAACATTTTTCTTGTTTTCATACAGGGAGAGGATGGAAAACCTGGATCACCTGGACGTGATGGCAAACCTGGAAATGAGGTGTGCCCCCCATTTAATTAATTTATTCATGTCTACATTAGAACTTTAACAAAACATCATTCCAATGATGTTTTCAATTTAGATGTTATTGTAACTTTACATAAACTTGATGGATTTAATAGAATCCTTGCCATTAATATGTAATATCTTAAACTATTTATTAATTGTACATTCTTGGACAAATCAAACTATAATACTAACCTATATTTGTATATTTTGAAGGTAATATTGGTAATTGTGTGTGTGTGTGTGTGGGGGGGGGGGTGTTCCTGTTCCCCTCCCACCTTATTTGTGAGAAATTAGTCAAACATTCAGTTGCAGTCTTGATGTTTATGCACGTACATGTAAAACTGTATTCTAGGCCATGAACTATATTTCATTGCTCACCTCGTTTTTTTCTCCTCCCTGGCTCTGATCGAGGTGGCTGCTTCTAGCTTTCCTCCCCCGTCTTTCCTTCCTCCTGCTCTGCTCTCTGTGAGTCTGAAGTGCCTGGTTCACATCTCCCAATCGTAAATTAAGAAGATTATGGATTTGGTATTGTGGGCGTTCAACTCTATTGATTAGATTTTTTTCATCAAAGCGACAAGGTCCTGGAGAACCGGTGTGTCCAGCTGAGATTCACGCTGTGTGGTACGCCATGGATTTGTGGGGAGTGTGGCAGCTGATGTGCCTCTCAGTCCTGTCTCAGGAGGATGTTGAAGACGTTTACATATTTGGAATTATGATAGCAGGGACTCTGCTTTTTGGTATCGGGGGGGCTCTGTTTTATCGACTTTTGAAGAAGACATCGGCAGCAGTTTTGGCCATGGAAAAGCTTCTGAGTCAGTGTGAAGGTCTGGTCCGTGCTGTGGGAACTCTAAATCAACTGGTTTACCAGCTAAACCGTAAGGTGGAGGCGATTTATGAGAATCGCAGACCACCTGCGGCTTCTGGGACCCGTCAGCGTGGTGGGTTCGACCTTGAGGGAGACTCATAGCATGGATCAGTGGAATGGAATCCCACAATTAGACCATTTCAGAACCAGAACGTCCAGAATGGACTCAAGGCTGAAGAAAAAAGTAATCTGTCTGCCTGAAGAAAAACAAGAATTAAAGCTTATCTGAATCTGACTCCCCGACGGCCTTGGAATGGGCCGACTAGCTCAAATTTCTCCTGGGTCATGGGTAACCAAGGACAAAAGCTTCATCTATCGCAGCCCCCCCCCCCCCCCCCCTGCTCTGAAAAGCACTCGTAGACTAATCTCAACACCTCGACATCAAATGCAAATGTAATCAGGTTTTAATTGTGCTTGCTGGAAGAGTTTTTTTATGTCTCAAATCGTCTCCTTATAGACAAGATGTGAAAGATGTTTTTTGTAATACCACTATCTACCCTCATGTTTCTCCCCCTTCTCCTGTCTAAGATTATTATTCTGATAAAGGATGAGAGGCGGCACTTAGTGCAGCAGCTCCGTGCACTCCATCCATCTTCCAGACGACTGCATGTACATGTTCTCGTTGTATCTCGGTGCAATGACAATAAAGCTTATTCTGATTTGACCCAAACCATACTCGCTTGGCACATTTTAGACCCACCACCTTAGCAGCTGCCTCCACATTTATCATCTTATGTACTTGAGTACACTTTGAAAATGAAGCTTTAAACCAGTTTTTAACAGGTGTGGGTTTTAGACATGGCCATTCAGGGCTGTAACCTCAAACGTTTTCTATTACAGGAGAACTTCTGTGTCAAATTACAACTCTGTCTAAAGAATATATAGTAAAATTGACCCCAGTTAGGGATAGTAGTGCCAAAACAAGTTTTAAGTCTCCCACCTCCATGTAAACAAAGAAGACTGCCTTTGTTGTCCCCTGCCATGGAGCAAAGAGGAGGAATAGAAAATACCCTCAGTTTGTCCATCTGTCTGTCTGATCGTCTGTTGTAAAGGATTTTATGCATCATACATTTGTTAATGGTTCAGTGGTGGTGCAGAGGTTAAAGAAGGTGATTGGAAAATTGTTAGTTCATGTCCCCAGGTTGACATAAAAAATGTGGGTGGGGAAAAGTGAACGAAGGCCATCCAGCATAAAAACTATTTCCAAGTCTTCATGCGAGTTAGTTCGCTGTGGTGACCCCTGAGGAAGGGAGCAGCCGAAAGAAGATGTAAAAAAAAAAAAATGGCTCAGTTGCTTCAATTGTCCAGCTTTGAACAGGAGGACAAATTTTCACCCCAGGATCTTAAAAGCACTAACATGTTTGACACTGTGCAAGAAGTCCCCCCAAAGTGTAAAGTCTCATGTTTAGAGCGAGTAACACTGCAGCCTGGACAGTTAGCAGGCGGTGCAGTAACACCTCTCAACACTTGGCAAGGCAGGATGTCCTCAGGAGACATGTCTAAAAAATATATGTTTTACACAGTTTGCCTGTCTCCATAAAGAAATGATTCAATAAAGATGCAGTGATGTCAACAAGAAAAACTGCTGTTTGTGTTTGCAGGGTGCTAAGGGACCTCCAGGCCCAGAAGGACTTCTTGGACCAAGAGGAGAACCTGTGAGTTATTACTGTGGTAGATGTGACACAAAGGCAGCAGACAGATAAGGACATGAAGCAGACCTGCAGTCATTTCTCCCATTCTCCTCCTCCTCACACCAGCATCTGATTTTTGTCTTACGTTTCAGGGTAAACCAGGTGAATCAGGACCGTCTGGGAAGTCAGGTCTGCCCGGAACCCCAGTGAGTCATGTTTCTGTTTAAATCTGCACTCACGTTAACTTAAACTTGACTTAACTGCAGCAAAACATTTACCATTATACTTTTATTTAGTGAAACACATTGATTTTTAGGTTTTAAAGTTTGGACAAGGACACAACTGTGACATACAGTAACTGCATATTGGTTTATCCATCCATCCATTGTCTTTTACCCACTTCTTCCATTTTGGGTCACGGGGGTCACCGGTGACCATGTCCAGCAATCACTGTGCGAGGGGCGGGGTACACCCTGGACAGGTCTCCAGTCCATCACAGGGACACATAGAGACAAACAACCATTCACTCACTCACACCTAGGGACACTTTAGAGTTACCAATCAGACTAACATGCATGTTTTTGGTCTGTGGGAGGAAACTGGAGTACCTGGAGAAAACCCACGCATGCATGGAGAGAACATGCAAACTCCACCCAGAAAGGAGCCCAGACCGGGATTTGAACCGGCAACCTTCTCGCTGAGAGGCAGCAGCTCTACCAGTTGTGCCACCGTGCCGCCTCATATTGGTTTATGTTTTGTTTAATTTGTTTTTGACAACATTTTTTTCTCTGCTTCATTGGATAAAATAGCCTCTAATTGTAATTTCAATTTATGAAGTATGTTTTTTTAATGAAAAGGTGTAGCTGACAAGTTTGTCCTTTTTGTTTCAACAAATGGAAACTAACCCCCCTTCAGCAGTGATCATTCCTTCATTTGTAAACGTGTGATGTTTGGTTTGCATCATGCGTCAGACATTGACTCAGGGACAGAGGGAAGCCAAGAACTTCATTGCTGTAAGTGCAGGGCAGATTATTTGCAGCCGACGAGCAGATTGGAGTTGATGTTATCGGTCTGCAGGAGGAGCAGTGGACCAGGAATCCTCTGAGGGAGTGGAGGGGAGGTGGGGGGTGGGGGTGGGGAGGGGAGGGATTCAGAGAACAGGAGGTTAAAGAGGGAAATGATTTTAGTTGTTATCAGAGACAACATCAAATCCTGACTAAACTGAAATCAGAAGTTCAAGCTCAACACAAAGAAGGAAAGAAAGAAAAAATGTTTAAAAAATAAACTTTTGAAAAAAAAAAAGTTGTTTTTCATTTATTAAATTTTTCCTCCTGTTGGTGTCAGTAGGGTCTCTGTGGTTTGAGCTCAACCTCAGCCCCACATGTCACTTGTGAAGATGAATTTTAATCTGTGCAGGCTGGCAGGACAGTTTTAGATGTTTTTATATCCAGGGCACAGCTGCATGCTGGACTGTAAATGCAGCTGAGAGATAATCTTGCTTAATCCTCGCTAATGAGCGTGGTGCTTTTAGGAGGTGATTACAGTGCTCCACGTATGAACCATGTGATGGACAGGCATGTATCTGCTGTCATACAGGGTCTCAGAGGAGACAAAGGAGAACCTGGCACCCCAGGATTACCAGGCTTCAGTGGGCCAAAGGGCCCAGCGGTGAGTGCTAAATGATTGTCAGCATTTTTCTTTAATTAAAGTACATTTTATGGCAAAAATAAGAGAGTAATTAAATTTTATACTCTTTCAGGGTCCATCTGGTCCTATTGGCCCTGAGGGAAAACAGGTAAGAATTTCCAGACGGCTGACACTTTCTGAAAAGTAAAGCAGAAGGGATTATTTTATTTTTAGTATTTCTGCCCATCTGTTGTGTTTTGTAGGGAATACCAGGCCGAGCAGGAGATCGTGGTTTCAAAGGGGAGAAGGTGAGAATAAAGAGATGTACGCCAATGTGCTCGTTGACATAAATAATCTTTTTTTTGTTTACTTCAGATTCTTAGCATTTTCCATTATATACAATATTCATAGACAACGTGAAAAAATACTCCACCGGTAACAATTATATTTTCTGAGAGAGGAATCCAAACCTGCCACCCCACAACACATAGAAGAGAAGAACTGGTCCAAGATGCTAACTCTGAGTCAGCTTTAAAAATCCCGATTTAAGCACAGCCCCAAAATTAAACACCCCACCCCGACCCCAGAGACTACTGGAGTATGAAGGAGCACATGGAGCCTTGTCAGTGGGCATGCTTGAGAACAGTCATTTAAAAGATCTGTCTTATAAAATAATAAATAAATAAAAACTAGAGGGAGTCAACTGAATGACAAGTTCATCTACTTTGCTGTTCTTTGCTCTAATGACAGTTAATAGTGAGGAGGGACAGAAGGACTTGCATCAAATGGTAAGACAGAGGGATGGATCAGGCTGGAAAGGATGGGCAGCAGTTAAAGCTAAAAATGGTAATGTCCTATCAAGTGAGGAGAGCATGATCGGAAGATGGAAGGGGTACTCTGAGGAGCTAATGAACGAAGAGAATGAATGAAAAAGAAGAGTAGAGATCATTGAACCTGTGGACCAGAAAAACAGAAATACTATTGAGGGTGAAGTTTGGAAAGCAGTGAAGTTAAAGAAGGAGAAGACAGTGGAGCCTGATGTTATACCAGCACAAGTATGGAAATGTTCAGAAGAGATGGTGGTGAGGTTTTTGACTCTATTATTCAACGGCATTAATGAGAGTGAGAAAATCCCTGATGAATGGAGGAGAACTGTGCTTGTTCCCATTTTTAGGAACAAGGGTGATATATCCTGTAGTTGTTGTAGCAATTACAAGAGAATTAAGTTGATGAAGATCTGGGAGGGAGTTCTGGAAGCTAAAGAGGTGATATTTGATCAGAAGTATGGTTTAATGCCAAGATAGAACACCACTGATGCTATTCCTGATTTGGGGGTGCTGATGGAGAACAGAAAGGGTGAGAAAGAATGTCATTGTTTCTTTGTGGATTCAGAAAAAAAGTATTTGACATGGTGCTAAGGACAGCAGAACATATTATACTGGTACAGGACATGTATGAGGAACAAAGGACAGCAGTGTGTGTGTGTGTGTGTGTGTGTGTGTGTGTGTGTGTGTGTGTGTGTGTGTGTGTGTGTGTGTGTGTGTGTGTGTGTGTGTGTGGGTGTGTGTGTGTGTGTGTGTGTGTGCGTGCGTGCGTGTGCGTGCGTGTGTGTGTGTGTGTGTGTGTGTGTGTGTGTGTGTGTCAAGTGGAGCATTGAGGCTACAAGGAGTAGAGGTCACAACAGTGAAGGACTTCAAGTACTTAAGGTCGACTGTCTAGAAAAAATTGGATTGTGGTAAAGAGGTGTAGAAGAGAGTTAATGCAAGATGGAGTGGATGAAGAAACGTTTCAGGAGTGATTAGTGACAAAAAGGCTGCAGCAAAGGTCAAAGGAAAAGTTTACAAGGGAGTAGTGAGACTAGCTATGTTGTATGGTTTTGAGTCAGCAAAACTGACAAAAAGACAGGATACAGAACTGGAAATGGCAGAGCTGAAGATGTTGAGGTTCTTCTTAGGAGTGACAAGGATGGATAAGATTAGGAATGAGACCAGAGGTATAGCGCAGGTTGAACAATTGGAAGATAAAGTTAGAGAGGACACACTGAGATGGCTTGGACATGTCCAGAGGAGGGATAGTGAGTATATTGGTAGAAAGATGTTAGAAATTAGACTGTAAGGACCAGAGAAAGGCCAAAGAGGAGATATACACAGTATGGATGCAGTTAGAGATGACATGAAGGTGGAGTCAGGATAGAGGATGCAAAAAACAGAGTGAGTTGGAAGAGGATGACTCGCTATGGCGACTCTTAAGAAGGTAACAACTAAAAGAAGAAGACAAAGAAGAACCCTGTGATCATCTCATATTTCCGTTACCTGGAATGTGACTCTATCCTCCAGAATGATAATGCTCTCCCTTACTGGATCATTATAAACTAGCTCAAGAATTTCTCAGTGAACAGGATAGAATGGTCTGCCGTGAGTCCAGACCATGTACTCACGGATTCCTGAACTAAATGAAAATGTGTGGAATCAGATTGTGTATAGCATAAGTGTTACAGTGACAAGACAACCATCACACCACTGGTTGACTTTCAACATTTCATGATTGAGAAAAGGGATGCCACCATACAGCAAAATATAACCCGGCTAGTGAGCAGCAAAAGAAAGAGGTAGTGTCAAATGGACTCCATTTGTTGCTTATTTCCATTTTACAGTTTTTCTCAATTGCCAAGACACATTTTTTGAAACCATTCATCTATTTCTCTAAACTGTAAACACAAAACCAAGTTTTCAAGCTACATTTGCAAAACCTCTGACTGTTTCTTCATATCTAAACTGTTGCCTCGAAACTGTTCAGTGCTCAAAACCAAACAATGTTGGCAGATCAGACCGAGTCAATCAAAATGAAAAACACCACTGAACAGTCATTACACAAAACATAGATAAAAGGAAAACCCAAAAAAGTTCAATCTGGTCCTCTGGACATTCAAAAAAACAAAAGCAAAACAAAGCAAAACAAATCTAGAAACGTTTCGTCTCTCATCCGAGAGACTTCCTCAGTCTGAGGAAGTCTCTCATCCGAGAGACTTCCTCAGTCTGAGGTGCTGTTTTCAGCTCAGTCTCTTAAATAGCACCTTCTCAGAGTGGATCAACCAGTTTGCTGCTGACAACCAAAACCAGCTGATCACATGCTCAAGAAGGACCATCAGCCTAACAATGGATCATTAGCACACTGATGGCTGTTTACTGTTCACAGAGGGCTGAGTGATACTAGCAATCACAGCATTGTAAGAGGGGGACAGTTGAACCCGGAGGCTCCACCCCTGTTTAATGATGGACGATTTCTTTTCACAAAGATGGCCTCCTTTACTCCTCTCTCAAACCATCGTTCCTCTCTATCCAGGATGTGAACATCTTCATCCCTGAAAGAGTGACCGCTGGCCTGGAGATGAGTGTAGTGGTTGTCAGCAGCAAACTGGTTGATCCACTCTGAGAAGGTGCTATTTAAGAGACTGAGCTGAAAACAGCACCTCAGAATGAGGAAGTCTCTTGGATGAGAGACGAAACGTTTCTAGATTTTTTTTGCTTTGTTTTGCTTTTGTTTTTTTGAATGTCCAGAGGACCAGATTGAACTTTTTTGGATTTTTCTACCTGGATTATTGAGCATGCATCAGGATAAAAGGAAAACATAATCAGTTATAAAGCTTTTTTTAATTATCTTTATTGTCCATAAAGTACAATACATTTTCAAAACAAATCTTCTGTTTAGAACTTGGAGTAAAAACAAAAAACAGACAAACAAACAAACAAACACAACATACATCAAAAAGTGTAGACTTCATCTACATCACAGGCCACATTCTCCCTGGCCTGGCATGAGAAATAACTCCTGGTATGCTGGACACACACTTGGCATGCATCCAGACCTATGTGATTACAGGCCAGTTCCATGCTGCAAGAGATTTTTCTAGGTGTTGGGTTGTCAGTTATAAAATGTCAAACTCCATGAATAGAATAACTCCTCTGTTGGGTTGAGAAAAGTGGAGTATGGTGGCAAAAATAATTCAGGAAGTCTTGGTTGATATTGAACCACTCTGACCTGGATGACGCCGTGAAAACTCATATTGTTCCACACAATGACAGACAAGATGCCCTGTCTGTTCACGATCCTGCTGCTGACACCCTCACACAATATCTCAAAGATCACTTTAAAATATCAGGAGATGCTGAGTGTTGTATGGCCCTAATGAGGCATGATGGTGGAGATCCCTATGATTTCTGAAGGCACCACATAATGTCTCATTGCCACCACACTGGCCAGGGACTGCAACAATGACTTATGGGCAAGTCACATTCCAGCCTCTCTTCCTTTTGTTCAGACTGAACCCAGCTTCATCTATATACAATTTTTCTCGATTGTTTACACATATTTTCTGAAAGCATGCCTCATACTCTCAGAACACACACACACAATGGGCAAAACCCAACAATTCTCCTGCAAACTGAAACTTTACATTTAAAACAATATCTCTTCTCAAAATGGTATTTTGTTTTCTGATGACACACAAAAACCATCATATGAATAGACATTTATATGAACCATTTGAACACTGATATGCTTAATGTAAAACATTATGATGAATGGAAAACTCTTTATCTTCACTGATTATAATGACAAGCTTTTTTTGTTCAGTGTTCACTTACTACAGACAGTACATATATAAGTGTGTTGTAAATCCGTCCATCCATTATCTTTACCCGCTTATTCCATTTTGGGTCACGGGGGTCACCGGTGACCATGTCCAGCAATCACTGTGCGAGGGGCGGGGTACACCCTGGACAGGTTGCAAGTCCATCACAGGGACACATAGAGACAAATGAGACAAACAACCATTCACTCTCTCACTCACACCTAGGGACAATTTAGAGTTCCCAATCAGTCTAACATGCATGTTTTTGGTCTGTGGGAGGAAACTGGAGTACCTGGAGAAAACCCACGCATGCACGGAGAGAACATGCAAACTCCACCCAGAAAGGCCCCTGGACCAGGGTTTGAACCAGGGACCTGCTTGCTGAGAGGCAGCAGCTCTACCAGTTGTGCCACCGTGCTACGTGTTGTAAATCATTTTAGAATATTGTTTTTAATACTCAGAACAAACAAATACACAATAACAAATATAGTTGATTTTCCCCAAAAAAACAATGTTCACAGTGTACATCCCAACCAACACAAAGTTGCACATACAGTGGTCTACATACAAAACAACTGAATAATATACAGTTACAGTAAAAAGAAAGGCTATGCTGCATTCTTTCTTGTGTTTTGGTCTGGCCAAGCAGTGGGGTAAATATCACCTAACATGGCAAATCCAGCCATGAAACGCATCAACTGCTATGTGTCCATATGCATCTTCCATAGCTTGAAGATGGGATATACACATTTGTGAATTTAGGTCATACACTTTACATCTCCACGCAGAAAAAAAAAAAACCTCAATAGAGTTGAAGAATAGAATACGAAGGAATATAAACAACTGAAAATTGTAGAATGAATGAACCAATCAATGAACCAGTTACAAACCAGAACATCCCGTTGAAAACTGACATTGTCCCAAATGACAACATACCTGAGCTGCTCTGGGCTGTCTATCTGATCTGGTGTAATGAGTGTGTTGTGTAAGGTGTCCATGAATGTGATCAGATGGGCAGTGTTGTAGGGTCCAAGGGTAGCATGGTGATGGATGACGCCGTGGTGGGTAATCACTGCACACATTGCGATGTTCCCTCCGTGCTGGACAGGGACTTCAACAATGGCATGCTGGCCAATGCCCTTCCTTCCCTTCCTTCGTCTTTTTGCGAGATTGAATCCAACCTCATCAATGAAGATGAACTGGTGCTCCACCTCTGAAAGACACATGACAATATCAAAAACCAACATGGAGTGGTTACTATTGTGAAGCATAATCTTTATAATTACAATAATGAAGAACATATAACTTGTACAGTGTTGAGAATATGCATCAGATGTTGGATTGTGCATTACTTGCACATAGTTATAACACAATTCTTTGTCAGTTTCTGAATTGCATTCAAATGGCACCGTGTAGACCTACTTCATCCTCAAATTATTTCTGTGCAAGACATGGTCCAGTATTGATAAGATTACCCTATCAATATTTTGAAATATCTCATTGTTTTCTATTATTTTTCTTGGTATTTGCCGTGATGTTATGACGGTATTTTTGAGGACCATGTTGATGATTTCACTTTCCTGTTCAGAAGACAGAAGACGTTCCCATCCGCCTTGTGTTGGTAATCTTTCGGTTCAACAATACAAATAGTAAAATACTGTACAGGTGTTCCTACTGTGTAGGAATGCAAAGTAGAAATGCATTTCCCAAATACTTGAAGCATACTTAATTTTTCAGTCCTACAGAACAGTCCACATACAATACTGTACTACTGTACTCATTAAGTACTATATTGTATATAGTACTTAATAAATTGCATATTATTGTATGCAGTTTTCTAGTGCGAGTAGATTTCTTACTTAATTCTCATTTCAGAACATCCTGATGATGGATGCTACCATGGACCTGCTCAAATTTGGCTGTACTCTTTGCCCAGCCTCCTCGTTAGACCAGGTTGACCACATGGTCAACCAAAGTGGTTCAGATCTCATCAGAGATTACGATCCTTGGCCTCCCTTGTCCTCATCCTCTCTGTAATCCTCCATTTACTCTTACTCCTCTGGATCTGCCTGTTTACAGTGTTGGCATCCATTGCTCCAAAACAGAAGAGCTCAGCTGTTTCCCTTTCACGATAAAGTTTTAAATTGCTAATTGTAAAACTGTGTGATAGGTGTTTGCCCATGTAATGAGTCAGTGTGCATAGTAGGGCTGTTAACTTTAGAATTTTGAATAACAGTGTGTTCCTTGTGAAAATGAGATTTTCTTCAAGAAAATTTTGTGAAATGCAGAAACTTGTGTGTTTTGAAAAAAGTGTGTTTTAGAACTGCAGTTTGAGTGTAAAGCAGGACTTGTTCTTGTAGTTTAGCAGAAGTGGTTCATTCAAAGGAATCCAGTTGAAACACTGTATGGAAAAACACACATAGCTTTGTAAGTAGTACAGAAAGATAGAATTGTGCTGTAGAGCAGACTACAGTATTGAATTTTACCTACATGTACATACTGGAATCTATGCTCCTTGAGTTGTGGTCAAAGGGTACTCTGTACAGGTGCTTCATCCACATGCTGTTGTGTTCTAGAACAATCACTGGTGGAAAGGCTGACACTGTTGGTGCCTTCCAAATTCACATGGTCTTCAATGATTTTTTTTTTCTGTACTTCAAGCAGTTTTATTGTATTATTCTGGCAGCCCATGTCAACAATTGGTGTGGGACAATATACTTTGTAGATGTTCTCCCTCCTTATGTCTTGCAATTCTACAAAATTAGCATACATTTACCAAAAGCATACATGCAGTACTAGGCCTACAAGTATACTGGAAAATTCATGTAATTAAACAACTTTTTACATTATACAGTACTGAGTTATACTGTAAACATGTATGCAACAAAAAAAAAAGAGAATTACCTGCTCTCTCTAAATTTCTGCACTATGTTCGAGACAGTGACTCTAGTTATGTTGGGCTGAACTCAAAGGTCCACTTCCTTCATTGTCAAACTGTAGACAAGAACATGGTACATGGCATTTGCTCGTTTTCATCTGAAGTAATTGTTCTTGGTCTCATACCACCTCTTCTACCTCCTCCTACTCTTACTCTTACTCTCCAACTGTTTCTATCCATAGTGAAAGTTTAACGACCAGGGCTCCTTGTGCTGGCTTATATTGGTTTGTTCACATCATTAGTCACAGTGTGATCAGTTTTGAGTTGCTGTGTTTAGGCTGAGACACCTGTGTTTTCACTGAGTTTCACTTATGCTACATGTGCTTACCATTATGCAACCCTAGTGCATCACAGTGCAAAATGTGTTTTAGTGGGTGAAAATGTGTATGCAAGTTGTATCTACAGTAACTAGGTGAAAAGTGTTTAAGGTTCTGCCAAAAGGGTGACTTTTTCAATAAATGTGTTCAGAGCACAGAGCATTTGGTTCAGACAACAGGGTTCATGTTTTAGCAAATGAGAAAAACTCTATTATCGTTATGCTATTATTGCAATCATCCAATCCAGTGATGAACTCAAAACAAGAGGGAATACCAACTGGAGATTATAGCAGAGTATTTTGCATTTTGTCAAAATGTTTTTCTTATTTAATATAATAAAACAAACCATTGGAAACAATCAAATTATTTTATTAGATTAAGAAGATAAACATTTTTCAGTATGAAAAGCTTTACAGTGACAAGAGCACCACCAAAGGGAAAACTGATCTAAAGTAGCTTGTAGTATCTTTCTAATATATTTGTCACAACAGATCTTTTCATTACATCTAAACATATTCCACTTCTTTGCATGCCTTGATGGAACCTATTAGTTGTTTTTTATATTAATAAAATTTAAAACGTACAAATAAAAATTATCATATAATTTAGGGTGACCATGGTATAAAAGGAGATAAAGGACAAGCTGGAGAGCCTGGTATGCCTGGAAACCCTGGTCCTCCAGGCAGGAAGGGACACACTGGGATGATGGGCATGTCAGGACCACCAGGAGAAATAGGACCTCCGGGAACACAAGGATCTTCAGGGAACCCCGGTCCACCAGGACCCAGGGTAAGTTAGTTATTCTCAGCAATTACAGATGAATTTGATGGAGGCATTAACACCTGACTTACTTGTGAACACCTGTGTTACTTTAGGGAGAGTCAGTGTCAATGGAGCAGATGAGAAGACTCATCCAGGAGGAGCTGGCAAAACAATTAGATGGTGAGGAAATTATCATTTGGTGGTGTTGTGGAAGGAAAAATTAATTGGTCTAATTTAAAATAACTCTAAACAGAGTTTATAGGATGCAAATAATATGTGGTTTGCCTTCAGCCAAACTGGTATACCTCATGGCTCAGATCCAGCCTGCCCATGTAAAAAGTACAGCAGGTCGTCCAGGACCTCCAGGCCCCCCTGGTAAGGATGGCAGCAATGGACGACCAGGACCCCCTGGTGAGCCGGGAATGCCTGGACAAAATGGAGGAGAAGGGCCCAGGGGACCGATGGGCCCTAAAGGTAGAAGAAAGACCCAGAACTTTGGTTTTGTGTTTGTATGTAATTCCTGGGGTTGTTTTGAGGCTATTTGTTTGTCAAAATTATAATATATATATATATATTATATATCCCTTTTAAAAGGGAGTTTTTCTTTCCACTGTCTCCACTGTGCTTGTTCAGGATGGGAGACTGCAACGAAGCCAAGATTCAACTTGTCTGCTGGATTCCTTAGACAGAGAACTTTACTATTTGGCCTTTATGTGAATGTTCCTGTAAAGTGTCTTGAGACAACTTTGTTGTAATTTGATGCTATATAAATAAACTGAATTGAATTGTATTGAAGTGCAAGGGGGACTACTGTATATGTAATACGTAATATGTTACATATATGTTTCAGTATAGTAACATAATATATATTGCACACTATACAGTTAGTTCCAGCCCTTCACACTTCAGGTATGTTATCCATGTGTCAGGTATTTAGTGGACCAAGCAAATGTCTGGATGAAGGGAAACATTTTTGAATGGCATAGATACATTGTTGTTTTTCATATGAATGGTGAATATGCTTCCTTTTCTTTATATTGCTTGACAGTATAGTTTCTTTAAATGATTTATTGGGGGACAATCTTTGGCTTTCCAATATTTCAGAGGACCAGACCCCACTACCCAGACATTTCTACCCAAGCTGTCATCCATCATTATTCATTGTCATAGATGGATTTTTGTTGATTTTAACAGACAGTGATGATAAAGCGATGAAGTCATCTGATGAGCGTTAAAAAAGCCTAAACTTGAACTGTAGTCAGACATTAAAAACAAACACAGGGAAACATCAAAGCTAGTTTAGAGTTTTGTTCATCTGATCTGATGGTGATTACAGTCAGAACCAGTAGAACCTAATCAAGTTATTTTTCTCTATATGCCTTTCTGCAGTTCATAAATATTCACCAGGTGTGTTGTTGTGTTAAAAGTACTGGCTCTTTTCTTTCAGGTGAGAAAGGAGCAAAGGGAGAGCAAGGAGATACTGGTATTGGTGAACGAGGAGAGCGAGGTCCTCCTGGACCTATAGGTAACCCAATTCTTCATCCGTGTGCTCGGTTCAGGGGTACTGATCCAGTCAAATGTCTAACTCCTGCTTTTTCTGCTCCAGGTCCAGCTGGTATGCCTGGATACGGCAAAGATGGAAGCCCAGGACAAGCTGGAGCCCAGGGCGAACCGGGAAACCCCGGACCACATGGTCAGCCTGGACCTCCAGGTCCTGCTGGACAGTGTGATCCCACCCAGTGTGCCTACTATGCCAGCCTGGCACAAAGACCCCACACCAAAAATGTGAAAGGGACCTAAAAGAAAGACGAGACTCAGGGCTGGGTGTCCATTTGCATTGTTGAACTTTAAGTCAGTTTGACGTTTAAAACAACAACTTCACACACACACACACACACACACACATATATATATATACAGTATATGTGTGTGTGTGTGTGTGTGTGTGTGTGTATGTGTGTGAGTGTGTGTATATATATGGCTCAGTTTGGAGGGCTGAAGCAACAGGTGCTGCCGGTCAGATTCTTGGGTTGTAGGAAGGCGGGTGCCAATGCAACATGGGACACCTCCAATAATGGACACAAAGTGCAGCTTAAAGTTTTTGTTTCCTTTCTAAAATGCTTCTTGTAACATAGACAGGGAGATAACAGGGATGTTTTAAAGGGTTCCTGTCTGTCAAATATTTTTTACCATGCCTGCACCCCACACCCACTCCTGCACTAATCACTCATTAAATTATTCTCTTCCCAGGGATCTCCTACCTGTCAGGTGGTTACACAGTCATAAATTGTTATAAATCCTTTCTCTCTCACTGATCTGTAATGTGGGAGCAGATGATACAATGGACTGATTTAGTGAGTAATGTCCATGTTTTACTTTTCTTGCCTCGTAGAGTAGTAGCGGTTACTTTGTTGCCTTGTTGTTGAGATATTCTCAGAAGTTTAGAAATGTAGTACCTTAAAAACAGCTCACCACTGAACAGGCTGATATTCTGTTTAGTTTTTTAAAATATGCATAACTGTTTTATTTACCGGTTTGAAGGCAACAGTGTTATCAATGCATTTATTTTCCAGCGCCTTATAAAAGTTTATGATGCAAGTCAATCATAAATATCAGCCTCTGCCACAACATTTCTAATAGAAGACAGAGACGTGGAAATGCTAATTTTAGATAGGTAGGTTTTTTTGTTTTTTATTTTAAGTATAATTCTGCTCCTTTTTCTCTGAGTGCTGTACAGTGAACTGCTTTATAGAAGGTGGCAAAGTGATGACAGCATTTGTTCACTTTTCTCACAAAGCTGCTTGATTCCCACCTCTAACTCTAAATGTGTCACTGTGTTTGGTGAGACTTAACTATCTGCAATGTAGCAGCTCATCATTTTATAATTTCTCCTAGAGGGTATAAAAAATAGAGTATTTTCCTACTTGATGTTTTAAAGCCTGGAACATTGTTTATCTAGATCTGCCTCAACTAAAGATATTTGTTGTCGCTTTAATGATCTAAGCTAGTCTAGACTTACAGAATGTATGACCTTCAACAAGACCTGGAAGTGTGAAGGAGCAGATCTGAAACTCATTTAGAGTAGTATCTCACTGGACTGCAATTGTTGGTGACTCAGACTGGATTAAATATGCTTAGAAAATACAATAACTTTTGGTTGCAGCCTCACTGAATTCTGAGTATTTGCAACTAGTGACCAGTGAGCCATGCAGCCACATTTTGTGTGGCCAGTTTTGAAAGTCACACCTTATTTTCATGTGCATGTCTTGCAAAACTGTATTTTATCTGTATCCTGCATCATACTGACATTGCCTTGCTTTATACCCAACTTGGCAGCAGACCCCATGTTTATAATTGGTAAATGGACTGTACTTATACAGCACCTTTCTATCTGATCAAGATACTCAAAGCGCTTTACACAACAATCTGTGTCCTCCTTGACCCATTCATACAGCTCTATACTAGATCTCTACAAAACTAATTGAACAACTCATTCTTAAGAGACTAATCAGAGCTTTTTCACATTCATACACTGATGGGACACACATCAGAGGCTATGAGGGGTTCAGTGTCTTGCCCAGGGACACTTCAGCAGGTGACTGCTGGTGGATTCGAACCCCCAACTCTTGCATTGGAGGACGACTGCTCTAACCACTCAGCCACAGTCTACTGGAGAACACGCTTTAAAAGTTGGGCCAGTGTTTGTCATACAAGGCCTCGTACAGGTGTCAAAGTACAGTTCTAGCGCTGTAGAGATGAGTTAGAGACACCTGAGTATGGTTTGACACACCTGCAACAACTCTGACTACTTTGAGAGAAAATTTGTCACACGATTTTTGGAACATGTTTAGAATTTAATCATCAAGACATTTTGACTCACGTGAAGAAAAGGAAAGAACCTGGCCATGTTGCAAGACATTCTGAAAACTTCCTCACAAATGCTGTTCGTCAACTATGCACCGGCAGTCGCAGGCCACTGACATACTACCTTTAGTTTTTGATAGTGCTGTTAAATGTGACAGGGACTTTCAGTTTATTTACAACCCAACAGAACATGAGTGTGTCCAACTGTAACAGAGGCCAAAATGGAGACAGTCATAAACCACAAAACTTGTATGAATGAGAGGTTCAGCAGCTCAGTGATGCCACAGATTTTCTCTTTGAACAAGATGTGGGAACACTTGACTGGACTTTTAGGAAGAGATTTCTTTGTTTCTTCATGAGAAGAGACTGAGCTAGTGAGCTACCAGAAGATGCATACTATTGCCAAACAGAATATGGTCACAGGTGGACAGACTAAAAAGTTTGTTTCTGAAAAACTTGTATTGTGACATAAAATTGCAAAATAAGCCCAATGAAGCTTTGGCCAAACTAACTAGTTTATCCATTTTGAAACGTGTTTTTGTGTAAATGATATAAATAATCAATGTCAATCATAGATAACTTCTTGAACAACTTCAGCATGGAGAAACAGAGTTTACATCTGATAAAGCTGATGAGTAAATGGCTAGTCTGAGCACGGCCATGTCTGTTTTCTAACAGCTCATCAGTCAGACCATCGAGACAGCCTAAAATGACCAGTTCAAAACTTCAACATTTTACAGCAGTTCAACCGTTTCCCGACTACAGTTTTGCATTACATAGTTATTTTGACCAAAACAATTTCTGCTAGAAATAACCACTGAATGGCTCAGGAATTATTCAACTAGTATCAGTCCTGAGCAACCAGCTGGTTGATATTTACACTTGTAAACAGTGTCAGAATTGTAGAGCTGTTTGATGTGAATCTGATGATGGTGTACAGGCTCATAAAATAATATTTATAGCTGAGTTTGGATCAGTTTTCCTGTCAGACGTTAGCTCTAATTTCGCCAATCATAAGCGATCTACAACAAGTAAGATACTCATTATTTTTAACTGTTATACAGAACCCAACTTCAAACTTAGCAAACTATTTCTTTAAGACAAGACTAGATGTCTCCTTTGTCATTAATTTATTCTGCTCGTGTTGGGAAATTAAAAAGAAATGAGTGGATGATGTTGCAGGCAGTTTATCCTCGGTTCAATAAAATTCTAATGTTAACAAAGCATTTAGGGATGTTGGGGGTATAAAATTATATTAGTGATAAACTGAACCAAATGTCTGTAGCTAAGCTCACTTGGTGTGGCCCCTGTTGTATCAATTTAAACATTTAGCTGGAAAACAGTCATAAATATGAACGGTCACTGTCAGACCATTAGTATATAAACTTATTCTGACCGTTATGCTGCTGATACTTCTGCAAATAGTGTATATATGTTAGAACTCATTAAAAAAATACTTTTACACAGCTGGATTTTAGTATTTTCTTTTATCCTGAACTTTTTGTCCTAATTTAGTTACGTTTGACTCCAGTAAACCAGCCAGAAGTCATTGGATTCTAACTGAGGGTTCACAAAGCAAATTTTTTTTATTATTTTTTTTATTATATTTTTTAATCACAGATTGGTCATTTAGCAAGCCTATGTTACCGTCTTATGTCTTCTTTTAAACTGGTCAGTTAGTCAGATGAACTCACTTGTTTAAGAGTGTTAAACAAATCACGTTTGTTTCATGTGTAACTCAACCAGTAACGTTCTTGTTGCCTTATTGGTTAGCTGCTGCAAATTGTTGGGGAGAAGCTTTTAAAAAAAAAAAAAAAAAGACTAAATTCAAACCTACAGGATGTTCAGAAAAAACTCAAACTTTTTTTTATTTTTATACTCATATTACCCTCTTTGCGATTTTCTATTTAACAAATTGAATAAAGTATGAATAAAGTCATACTTTAAGTTATACTGAATAAATTATTCATAGTTTGAACAGTAGTCTCCTTTTCTCAGTGCTTCCCCATAAAAATGGTGCTATATTTTAAACCATAATACATTGTAAGTAATGGAAAGACACATGTACTGTACTGTATAAAAGAGACTGAAACAAACTCACTTTGTAATACAGACCTTTGTTTGTTCCTTTTTAAATAAAGTCTATATTCTCCATTATCTGTGTTCATTGTCATGTCATTCTTGTTTGTCTGTCATATTAATGTCTGTGGGCTGACCATGGAAATAAACCACCTGTTGTCATGAATCACGTCCCTGTATTTTGATCTTTATCACTCTGTGCACTAGTTCTGGTTTCTCAGTCCTGTTCTGTTCTTTTCCTCCTCACTCCTTATCTTCTTCTACCTGGTTCTCATGTGTATGTGTGTGTGTATGTGGAGAACCAGTCTGTCCACTCTGCATGTTGGTGAAGGCTGACTGCACTAATTGGCTGCACTGCAGTCAGCTGGCCTGATTATCTCAGACTGGCTGCACCTGTTCTCTCCACCCTTTATAAGCAGCACCCTGTCAACTCTTCGGTGCCCGATAGTTGAACACTCTTAGTAGTTAGTAGATATCTCGCGTTCATGCCTGTAGTCCTTGCTCCCCTCTCTTGTCCCTGTTCAAGTCCTCGCTCCTTGTCTTGCCCACCACGCTACCTGTCCCTCTTTCTGGTTGTCCTCCCCTTCTTGTTTGGCCTGATCTCTTGGTTCCTTGACCCTCTGCCTGCCTCGACCACGTCTCTTTGGATTGCCCTTTTGGATTTGTTTCTGCATCTGCTCTTGGTACCGACCCACGCCTGCACGACCACCGATCTGCCTGCTCCTCTGGTACTGCCTGACATCTGCTTCACGTTACTGGACCTTGGAAAGCCTGACCACCCCTTTTGGATCACGGACTCTGGACACGCAGACAGCTGCGGCCGACTGTCGTCCTTCACCGGACTCAGCCCTTCCAGC